AGACTTTTCTACAATTTCCCACTTCATGTTGCTCTCAAGGTGTTTTGTGTCATCTGAACAAAAAAGTGAGATATAAGTTGAAAACTTGATCAAATTAGCCTGTGGACTTTACCTTAAGATATTCTTTTTTCGTCAAACTAATGTTTACCAGGATAAATCACCCTGTGGTTGAATAGGTTTGTCAACCAGTGCAGTTTCACTCCCTCAAGGTGTTGACATAGGACATATTGCAGTCACAATAATATTAGATCAACCTGACCTTTACCTTTGACCAGCCAAATCTCATCAGTTAGTCTGTGAGTGTATTGTCTAGAGGCATTCATGAAGCAAAAAAGGGTTTTGTCTGGTCACGGTGACAACACCAAAATCAAATCACTTTATCTTTGAGTCCAACAGAAGTTTTGCACCAAATTTGAAAGAATTCCCTGATGGAGTTTCCATAGCTACTGCTGAGGTAATAGTGACCTTGATCTTTGACCACAAAAATCTGATCAGTTCATCCATGAGTCTAATTAAACATTTGTACCAAATTTGAAGAATTCCCTATGAGTGTTTTGTTTACAAGATATACTTTTCACAAGACTGAGATGGATTGACAGACAATCCGACAACATGAAACCTTCAGTCACTGGCTGTTATTGGTGCAGAGGCATAAAAAAACTTTCAAACTTATTTTGGTTTTGTTTCTGTATCTGTATCTATTTATGTTGATCACTGGCCCATCTCTGCATCTGCACCTATATTCCAGTGAACATAGAGATTTTGCAGGTACCTGTGCTGTGGGTTGGTGTATTTGAGCAGCTCAGCCAGCTGCAGTGGGTACTTGCAGATCTTTTGAACCGGAGTGAGCAGGAAGCCATCCAAGGAAATGTCGATCATCTTCTGGAGTAGTCGGCAGGCTTCAAAGAAGAACACGTACTTGTTGACTTTCATCAATTTAGAGAGCTGGATGCAGGCGTTGGGGTGGTTGTTGCAGTACTCTGAATAGATCTGGAAATCTGTTTGCTACACAAGAAAAAAAAAATAGAAATGAAGACAATAGTTTTAATGGACAGTTTAAAGGGATAGTTCAAATTCACACAATATCTACCCACCACTCTTCCGATGGAATGGTGGGTAGAGACACTTTAGGAGTTTCAGGGGTAAACAGTGTTGCAGCCAAATCCCATACAATTGAAGTACTGGTGATCAATTTTTAAAACGTCAAAAAACAGCAGAAAAAAAACACAACATGCCTCCACACTGCTCATGTGGCGTCATCCAAGAGTCTGGAAGCCCTTACGTTCAAAGTCGACTCGCAAAGTCTTCATTTACACAATGTTCAGTAATACCATTAGTAAATGTCCTCTGATATCCTCCTTGGAGCCACGTTCATGTTTGAAAGCACACACTGGAAACACTTCACCCATCTCTCTAAGTGTTCCTGTTATTTTGTCCACCCCATTGAAATCAACTGACACACTTTTACTTACATTGCATGAAAGCTCAACAGAACCACCGACTGCTTCCTCCAAAACGAATCAACACAAAAATGGAACATCAGCACCTATTAGACTATGTTTTAGCTAGGTGTTCCTAATAATCAGACAATTGACTGAATATTGATATTAGCTTGAGATCAAAAGAGAATCTTATTCCAGCAAGAAAGGTTTTAAACCAACAGTTGTGTGTTACTTATTTTATACAATAGTAACCCTCTGATAGCACAATTCCTATTACTACTGTTGAAATGTAATTGGATTTAATTTTGCAGATTCTCTGGATTCTCGCCGTTTTGTGATTCAGCTTACATGTTCGAGGAAGCAGCAGCCAATCTCGCTGAGGTGCGGCTGCTCCTTGTTGAACTTCTTCTCCAGGCCTTTCAAGAACTTCCTCTGGAATCGGTAGATCTCTTCAATATTGCCAAAGATGGTTCGAAGCTGATCCTCAGTGAACATGTCTGTTCTCTTACGGCACTGTTTTATATAACCCTGAGAAAAAACAGAAACAGGATTCTCATAAGCTGTTCACTCCACTGTTTTAATCCGTTCTATATCCATCCACATAGACTGCTGATTTTTCTGTATTTTGATTAAGATGTCTATGTTATTTCCAAATTTGTAAATGTATTAAAGTTATGTGTTTGGTTGATTAGCGTTGGTTTCCATGTTAAGGAATTTGATTAAGAATGTGAATATTTATCCTTCAATCTCACCACAGCCATGACAGCATATTGTTGAAATTATCTGGTTCATGGTTCAGGTTGTTTAATTGCATGTTGTTAAATGAGCTACCTCAACATTTTCAATAATACCTTGCATGAAAACTCATACCTGTGTAAGAAATAAAACACAACGAAGCATGACTGATATACTGGTAACTGGTATTATTTACATAATCTCAGAATGCCCGGGCAGAGGCCGCGTTTAAAAACTAGATCAATACTTGGGCTTATATTCTCCCATAGTTTTCTGCCAAAACCCCTGTTAGCTTTTCAGGATGTTTGTTAGATAATACTATCGACTAAGCTCTGTGGAGAGTGACCAATAAAACCAGGATTGGGGCTGGAAGAGCTCATTTATATGATGGAAGAAGCTGAATATTGTCACATCTCTTACAGTCTTGACTGAATAGTTCAAAGATCTAAAAAACACAAACAAATGATCTCAGAGTACAAGTTAGTCAGAGTCATGTTGTGTTCGAATCCAAAAGCTTGTGTGGGCAAGCATCACTAGTGTTTACTATGAAGATAGAGCTGCTTGTTATAAGAACCATCACTCATCTTCATGACCACTCTACCGTAGAGCTGCTGCCGCTCACATGGGCTTGACAAAGTGTAATACAACACTGGTCTCTGCTACTTTTGGTTCTATAGGATCAAGAATTGGATAAGCCTAAAAGTCTGTTATATGGAAAGCTTGACTGACCATCCCTGTATGTATTTTTTATTATCATATATATTTTGAAGGTTTGACTTGGTACTTTCATTCTCCTGCATCTTTTCAATCTTTACATTAACAAAGTCAAAATATTTTATTTCCTTCTCCTCAAAACATCACATAAACTAAAATAAGACTCAAATTCTTGGTTAGGTTAGTTTTACCAGCATTTTATCTAAGAATTTAGAACTGTAAAATAGGTTGGACTTGATCTAAGTGTCACACTAGTGTTTCACATCAAGGTAGAGCAATGTTTGGTGGAGCTGATGTATGAACAAGACTCTAAAGGACAGCAAATCTTCTACATCATATTTCCATGTGATCTAATGCAGACCTCACAGATGTCCTTCAGGTGCTTGATGTAGTCTCTCTCTGTGCTCATGATCTCATTGATAACGTTGGTCCTCATCTGCTCTTTGCAGGGTAAACCAGGCCCCAATAACAGGCCTAGAGCCGCCTGGTCCTTCTCCCCAGTGTGCACCTCCTCCAGGTGGGCCAGATACTCCTCCATTGGCTCATCCTGATTCACACGCAACTGAGGAGAACACAGGTGACTTCAGCAAGAATTCTTATGAACATTTACTGAACACATCTTTTATTTTCCATTCTCTCCTAAGGAAAATCACATGGGTGTACACTAAACGTCAGTTCCTTTGGTTCACAGCTGTGAAAGAGACATAATTAGAAGAACAAGAATAGAAATCAAAAAACAAACCTAGGTCTAGTGTAGAATATTATGGGAAAACAGATAACAGATTGAGGTTACATATAACTCAATATGCCACTACTACAGCAACTGCAGTCATTAATCAAACAGAGCAAATAAATGCCGTATGTCCAGTAATTTGTCTTCAAGCAGCAAAGCAGAATTTCTTACCCGCACAAAGCTTGCAGGAAACCAGCCCTCGCTGTCCATGATGCGACCCCACCACCACTCCTTGTTCGTGGCATCCACTACTTCGATGACATCACCAGCCTTGAAGCCAAGCTCCTGGTCATCCATGGTGACATGGTCCCAGAGCGCCTCAGCATACACCACACTGCCATCGCTGATCAGCTGCAGAGGAAGCACCACAGAGAGGACACAGATCAGGATGGTATTATTTCTAGTACCGAACCCCCCAATTGCTCCCTGGGCGCCTTCATGGCTGCCCACTGCTCCGTGTGGTCTCTGTGTGTATTGTGTTCCATGTGTGCTGTGTTCACACAGATGGGTTAAATGCAGAGGTCAAATTTCCCCATGTTGCATGTAGTGCTGTGTGTAAATGATCGTGTGGGACAATAAAAAGGAATCTTAACCCTTAATCTTAAACATGGTAAAAAGTGAGATGATATAGTAAGGACTTGCCATAGGGCACTGTTAGTCATCCAGTGAATATCAAGGGTCAACTACCAGCCACCATAAATGTCATAATTTCAGTGCAACACATTCTTCAAACTTTCTAAGTACAACCAGTTGTCTTCTGCCATTGTTGCTCACAAGCTGATAAATAAAGAGCAGTGTTTGACACCAACAATTGAGGTTAGAGGGCTGTTCATGAGCTGCTCCTACATCCAACACTTGGCTGAAGCATTATATAACATGGTAATAAAGAAAATACAATTTTACTTTGGAAATAACTAAGGAAAAAGAACAAACATACAAATATTTACAGATATTTGGCACTTTTGTGATATGATAATGGTTTGGAACACAGAGGTTTGTTTAGTGCAGATTGTTTCAATGTTGTGAAGTTACAGAGAGAACAAGCAGACAATTTTGCACACATAGGTCAATGACTGAATGTGCCATTCACCTCTGAAATAGGCTGGATAGGAATAGAAGATTTTGATGGAGATACAGAAGAGGGAAGTTAAAGTGCATGAAACAAAGGAAGACGAGGCAGAACAGGGGGAAGCCGGAAGGAGGTGGAGTCAGTGATACAGATAAAGACACTGCAGTGGTCATATTTCACACCGTCTCATACACACCACCAGTTTTACTGCGTCAACATGGCCCCAGGCCCCACAGAGGCCATCCATTATGCTGCTCAGCTTCACTCCTGCAGAGGCAACACAAATCTTGCTGGACATGCATCTTTCCTCTCTCTAACCTGGTTTCTTTCAGGGACAGAGGAGAAAGTCTGGACGTCTTTCACAGTGATTCGTCTCTCTGCTCCACTCATCCATCATGGCGACAAGTGAAACAGACGATGTGGCTGTTGCTAAGCAACACACCCACACCATCTTGCCTCTCTTTCTCTCTAAATTCACATTATATCCTTTCATTAAATGTTAAAATAGTAAACCACTACATACAGCTTGTTGTAAACAGGCCAGACTATTGAAATTAATGTTACAACAATAGCATATTAACGCACACACACGACAACCATTACGTATGCTCTTTCTGGTTGCTAGTTTTATCTCAAATCTAGATTTAAAAATGATAATAACATTTTTTAAGACAAAATAACATATAGGCAGGTGACAAATACATCAAATACATATGCTTCCACTTTTTGGCAGGTATAAAAAACGCTGAGCAGGCCCTGCTGATTTTTCTTTTGTACAAACATAGCAAGAGGAAAAGCTCCGAGTGTCTTTCCAAGACTTTTAAGTTTATTGCTATTGGTGAACACCTTGGATGAAAGATTACAAACTTTAGGACTGAAATGTTAGACAGTGCTCTTAACCACCTTCATCTAAACACCAGATGAGGGAATATGAAAAGAATGGTCCCTCCTGTAGAGCTAGAGAGAAAGGTGCATTATAGATTATTTGCTTATTTGTTTCTGGATTTTTAGTGACTGCTTCTTGTGATACTTGCAAATCACTGTTCTCCAGGACTACTGCCTCCAATTCATGTCACATACATAAAGAAGGATTCTACAGTAGAGAGGGGAAACCCAGTTGCTCAGCATCTCTGTCTAGTGTTTTTTTTTAAGTGTTAAAATCTCCCCTTCAAGGAGATAACATTAGGGCTCATATTCATTAAGCTGCCAAGTATTGTTTTGATGTTTTTGATTAAAAAAAGATTTGAATTGTCAAATAACTCCTGAGGTTGTACAAGTTGGTTGATTCATCGGTAGAGCAAAGATGGAGGCATAATCACGAAAATATTATTGGTACCTTCTATGTGATAAGTGTGTGTCATAATAACAATAATAGTGATAGATTTATACAAAGAAAGAATAACAAAAAATCTGGCACTGGTATTGTCTGCCATAACTATCAAACCATCTACATTCTCTACTAAATTCTTATTATATGAATTCTACAGACAGCTGATGATACCAGCACACATCAGCCAATTTTTTGAAAACATATAAATATAAAGCAGTGTTATTCATTTGCTGGATATTTTAAGATTTTACATCAAATAACGGAAAGTTAATAATTATACATATATATTATTTCAGAATAACAGACAAATGATGAAGCCATTAGAAACTTTTTGGATTTTACAATATGACAAATATAGGCTCAATATTTACAAAAGTTACTTGAACAGGCTAAGTTAAGCTAGTTACATGATAAATGTATTTAGGCCTACTGTTAAACCTGTGCTTTTGGCAGAATAATTTAATAAATCAAATACCTGTGTTAGTGGTCTGCAGTTCTGTGTATGCTGCAAGGAAACAAGTAACTGAGCCGTCAATCGAGATAAAAACGCTCAGTGGCTTTCCACAAAAATAGTCTCTAACTTTTTTTTTCAACAGATTCTGTAAATGGTCAAACAAAAGCTGGCATATAAATATTAATATATACATATAATTGATAGTTGTTATCAAAGGCTGGTAAAAACATTTGTTTTGGAGTGGAGGGTGGCTCACATTATATATACATATTAATTTGACACTTGAATCAAAAATATTGATTTTATCGCCCATTATTTTCCCATTGCTCATACTTCATAGTTTTGTCAGTGGCTGCTACCTTCAGTGAAAAATAACATTTTCTACACAAATCAGAGAACAAGAGCCCACCATTTCCTGGTAGGCTTAGAGTGATAATTTTCAGTGATAGTAGATTAAAGATTTATTCTTAAACAGCTAATAAGATGGATTTGAAAGTAATAAGGTGATATACAAATAAAATCCACTGAAATAATGAAGAAAAGGTAAAAAAATTAATGCTTTGCTTACATCTACAGCCAACTAATCTTATGAAAAAATAAAAAAATAAATAAAATTAAAAATATATATAAATTGGAGTTAACTGACAGAAAAGATTGAAAGAAAGTTAGGCTCAACTTTTGGATGTGAATCTGTAATACATGATTGGTGTTTCTGTTACACAGTTGATACAAACATGATATTTTTGTTCTTGATTCTGAATGATTCTGAAAAAATTATGAAAAACTTTGCTCCTAAATTACATTACATTATATTCCCTGTATGTGTAAAAGTAAAGTAATTCTGACAGATTCAATTAATAAAAAAATGTGTTATTCATAATTTGTTACCGCAGTACAGTCAGTTGTTATGTGGATGAATTCCTGTTATGGTGAAAGGGTACAGAATCAATTTAAATATCCATGTGTTCAAGTGTTCACGTAGATCCATGCAGTAAAAATCAGCTTTATTTCCATATGGAGATTATTGTAATATCGTCTTTCTTTTTGGCTCAATTCTCTAATTTCAAATACTGTTAAATGAGAAGTCAGCTCTGTTTACCCCTAAACTCGACAGACTTAAACAATTTAGCAACCTCAGCTAATGTCAGTTTTCAAATGCACTCCACTCTGAAAATTAGCTTCTGATAGTATTCACAGAAAGAAAGAAATCAAGAGCATTATATTATATAATATACTATATGTTACATTTGATGACAATCTGTTATATTGTACAAAAATGACTGATATAAAAAGGAATCCTATCCAGTTCTGTAGAAACAGCCAGGTTGTATGTTCACAACACAATCAGCTATGGTTACCTAAGAAAAGCTGTATCAGGGTCACCAGGAGTATGTTACATCACCTGAAGGCCCCTAATACGCTACTGTTGCTTTTCAGATTCCTTCCAAACAGACAAACACAGCTAACTAACAAACAAAAAAACAACGCATCATCTTAAACTACAGGTAACAAAAAAAATATTTTCCACAGCAACCAGTTTCTGGAAGAGATGTTTATTCCTCTGTGCCATAGAGCTCCATTAATTTCTGAATACATCAAGGAGACACACTGTTGCACTGTATGACAAGTTCCTTTATAAACACACACTATTCATTTAGACTCATCTCCAAATAGAGCTTCATGCATCCTGAAATAATCGTTACACCAAATGAGTATTAATCCAATGATGAAGAGTCCCCATCAAATTCAGTAATGTTTGCATCACTGACCAGCTTTTGAGTTTTGAGGTGAGTAAGTCGACCTACTGAGACAGAGCAACACATTCTTGGTTTTCAACTATTCCTAGGCTTTGTTAATAACACAACCTGAAATCCATCAGTGCAGTTTGGTTAGGATGGAGACTGCATTTACAAAGACAAATATGTTGAAATGTCGACAAATCAAACCATTGGCACTGGTTATCATTACTAAAACTATGTTAGAGGGATAAATGTTTTTCTACAAATCGATGTTCCTATGCTCATAAAGAACAAATTCCTTTTCTTCACATGTTTCTGAGGACACACATGTACATGCATCATTCATTCTCTCAGTAAACTACTCCTTCTGGTTGTACCTGTGTTCTGCTGCTGCCATGTTGGACACCCATCAATCCCAGCAGCCCAGCTCATCAACAGGGCAGTCCTCTGCTTCGGTCGCTCTGTGTTTTAGTTTATCTGTTTGCTTCCTCCATCGAACCGTGTGTGTGTGTGTGTGTGTG